TTCAACATGTTCATAGTGAAGGGTAATAGGAATACTTACGGATAGGTACACAACGTGAAATCCAGGTATCTGGAGTTTCGAAATATAAAGCTTTCTTTTAAGCTGCGATCCCCTCCCCGCGGGGATGTTAGTGCATGCGGCCCTTAAGGAAAAAGAGAAATATCTGGATGAATATCAGGACAAAACACGAAGCCCTAGAATCCATAGGCAAAGATATACGCTTGCATAGACTAGCAAATTTCAGAGAAAATGCACTTGGTTTAGAAAATAGCTACTTTATTTAATTTATCTTATTACGAGCTAGCATCCCGGGTTTCACCCCGTTCTGGAGCCTCCATCCTGCTAGACCTCTCGTGTAGCAAAATTTATTTTTATTTTGATTCCGACTCGTCTTGGGTTCGCTTCCTACCGCTCTTGCCATATCTTGATAACCTGCAGATCAAAATGAGCTTCACCGCTCATCTTTCACGGCCATGGGAAATGTGCACAGACACACAGACACACAGATTTTCTGCGTTATATAGAGGTTTTATAAGTATACTCGTGTACAGAATAGAAAAGAAAGGGAATCGGAGAGATAATTTCGGCAACACAAGAGAGAAGCCAATCCTCAGTCTTAAGAGAAAAAGAAACATGTGGATGAAAATCAAGACAAAACACGAAGCCCAAAACCCATAATGATAATGATATACGCTTGCATGGGCTAGCAATTTCAAAAAAAATGCACTTGGTCTAGAGAATAGACTCGAGAATTTCGCTTCCTTTGAAATACATTGTACGTTTTTGGGTGTCAGCGGGCCTGTGGGTGAAAGCTAGCTGACTTGATTTGAATAAAATTTATTTCAGAAGAGAGCAACGAATTTGGAGGAGTAGGATAAACACCTATCAACTAAAGCGAATGATAGTTTGCCAAGCGAATGACCTGTGGCCGTATTCATCAACGAACCCTGAGGGTTAAGCTTACCCTCCAGGGTTAGTTTAACCCTCAGGGTTCATTGGCCGTATTCATCAACCATAGGCTAGGGTTTACCACGGAACGCGATCTACCCGTATCGATCAACGAACCTGTGGCCGTATTCATCAACCTGAGGGTTAAACTAACCCTGGAGGGTTAAGGCGTCAGTTACGCGTGCGCTTGCAAACTCACATCACAGAATGCCTAATTACGGATAAATTCACTTTACACTTATATTCTTTCACTGTTATAGTAGTATAGTCAACGAATAAGCTTTTAACACTAGTTTTTATAATACACCTCTAGCATACTTGTGCAGCATCCATCTTACAGCGTGAGTTTATTTTCATGTGTGCAATTGTGCAGTTTGAGTTCTACTTTTGCGCAGTTCGTTTTATACCGGGCTTGTGCTACTCTTTTAGGGTCAATGCATGTTATTATAAAGGGGTTTTTCTTTTGGCACTTGTCAGAGTGGAATGCCATTTTTTCTCGTCGCATTCATTTGTCACCAAAGCTAGAATTCTTTTTCTTGCGTCAGTGTTTCATGTACTCCGAATATGAACATAAAACGAAGTCGAAACTAAATACTATAACAACAACCAATACTAAATACTACAATACTCGTTGATCGTTTTCCGAACTATTAGATGCGAGTAAATGTTTGTATGAAGTGTTAGGGTAGAGTTAACCTTGCTCTGAGCTAGGGTTAAATTAACCCTGATAAATCACGTAAGTTTAACCCTCGAGGGTCAGTTTAACCCTCACGGTTCGTTGATGAATACGGGTTAGTCGCTTTCGGGGTAAAATTAACCCTCAAGGTTAGATTTAACTCTCAGGGTTAAGCCTACCCTGTGTTTCATGAATACGGGTTAAACGCTTTCCAGGGTTAAACTAACCCTCCAGGGTTAGTTTAACCCTCGGGGTTCGTTGATGAATACGGCCACTGGTGGTAATGGGGTGGAGAGGGGGGGGGGCTTTGGTAAAGGGATGAGATGTAACTAGAGTCTTCTGATGAATGAGGCCGACGGATTTGATCATTAATAAAAGCATATCTATAATCAGTAACAGGAAGTAACACTGTAGATAGTGGTACTTAGAGCTTATTTGAGCTTGAGCGATCTTTCACTTTTCGGCTGTTATGCGGCAAACCCTATAGCCTGTGTCAATTAGGTACTCTCTTTCGCGTAGGAACTACGCATGCGCAGAGTAAAGGCCTTGCGTGCGAACCTCCAATCCATGAGGTCAATTTGAATATTCCTACAAGCCATGCGCGCGCGAACGTGGCGCGAAGCTCTGGCATGACGATTGCTTCTCGGAGGAGGGAGTACACGAATAGCACAGACTGTACATTCTTGCATTTTTGTGAACACACGATTTTGGTTGAAATTACCTGACCGATGCGTGCAAACATAGGGTAAATTGCGGCCATCGTGCATTTGGCAGTTACTCACACAACTATCCATTTTCTCTATTTTTTGAGAAGAAACGTGTTTTTGTCCATTGGTGCACTGCTACACACAAACAAATCCAGTTGATTACCGCGAACAAAAATTTGATAAACATCACGTGTCCCCCTGCATGTACTCCGTAAATCTTGAGTCAATACAGCTGTCGAATTTCAGTTTTTTCTATCAGACAAATTCTACTTTTTATTTGAGGCTATCTTCTGGTCAGCAAAGCAACGGCCTCAAATTACCCTTGACGTAGTCAGCAGCTTTCATCGCTACATCCTTCATCGAATTTCCGCTCTCACATCTTCAACGCTTTATCGTTACAAAGATAATTAAAGGTGCACACACAGTGACGACTGCCGTCACATATCCCCTGACTCACGTCATGGAAACCTGCTTACGTCTGTCGATTTAGATTATTTTTTTTTACAAATTCATTGCGTCTAACACCCCTTTGAGGTCAGATTTATCCTGAACGCTTTGCACTCGTGTATAATTAATGAGTTAGTACTTGTGCTTTACCTCATCTTGGATGATTTACTGCTTAAAACAATATTTTAATAGCGTTAAACTAGCTAATGTGTCATAGCGTTTCCGACTATTCCAACTCAGAAATAATACCCAAGATGATTGAGTATATGACGTAAACCCGTCTGACGTAACAATAACATCTTCCTTGCAAAACTCACTAATGTTCGTGATATATGTACTGCTGTGAAATTCAGTTACGTTCGTATGAGGATTAATGGTTTCTTCTCTAATTCGCTATTGAAACACGCAAACATTGATCAATTTGGAGACTCAATCTTTTCCCAGATTTTTTCAATCTTCGAGCAAAGAAATTTGTACCTTTATGTAGTTTAAAAGGGTATCTAAATTCAAAATCGACTCACAGAAGGATATCTCGGGCGAAACAGTGCGAAGAAAACGCCAGTAGAAATTTTCCAAAATTTGGAGGTTGGTAATGGAAGCATATTCGCATGCTTTACTACATGAGACATTCCACAAAATCCCAGATGTGAAAAAAAGTTGAAGGGGTAGTTGCACTCCGAGAAATTTATCTCGGTAAGGGCATATTTCTTTCAAATGAAGGATGACGTTAACCACTCCCTTCTAAAAGAAATTGAAAAGTTTTTTTTATGTTTTCCGCGTTTTAATTCAATAATTTTCGATATATACAGAAAACAGCTCGAAGTACATGTTTTACTGATTTTATGCTTAAAATCTCGTAGCCCAAAGATATACTTGTAACAAATGAGCGTGATATTCATATTATAACATCTTCTGTATTTGAATGCTTACATAGAAATCCATTCGTTATACTCAAATATATCGGATCGCAAATCTTCCAATTTTTGGAAAATAATTGACTCTAATAACTAGAAACGTTTCATAATGATTCTTAAACAATCCAAACCAACCGAAATCTAGAATTGATACGAATGACTGTATTTCATAAATATTATAAGAGAATACCAGTCTAGGAAGTTCATCGTTAATATACTTCACAACCACCACGCGGATCGTCCAAATGAAAAAGAAAATTTTCAGAAGAAAATATGAGTTTTACTAATTTTTCCAAACATATATCAAAACCTCCCAGTCCCTCTCTCCTTACTGGAGAGTTCCGGCGAGGGCCTAGAAATCAAAAACACCGTCTGAGGAAAGCAGTTACTCAGGATTTCCTTTCGAGAGAGGGGGGAGGGCGACAGAAATTTTTTGAAAAGGTGCGTGGCGTTAGTCACGCACGCCGAAAAAAATTTTTGGTATGCTTCCCAAGATTTTTGCGGGCCCCTAATTCCGAAAAAAATTTTATACGACTAAATTAACTTTTTAAAAATTAAAAAAAATTGTTTTAATTATTTACAAGTTTTAACAAGTCACTTGCACATTTTTATAACTCATGTAAGTAACTTTCAAGAATTTCGCGATCTATTCCCGGACTCCCCCGCCGGCCCCCACGCCACTGAAGGAAAGGACGAAACGGAGAATACTTTTGAATTCAGTTTTTCTTTTCTTTTGAGTTGATAAAAGGGTTCGGTTCACAGACATTTTTTACAAAGCTAAATTGTATTGATAAATTCCAAATACCCTGATTTCATACAGGTGAAATCAAGTTCTAAAATTCTGAAAAAGGGGGCGTAGCTTCAAAATCATATGTAAGGCTAGTTTGTATTCTTATTTCGTTTGCCCTTTGCGAGCAATTTTACAGCTCGTCACCATGCTTTTGAAAGGTGAATTTAAGAAAAAAAACTTTCTAAAGAATTTTGTGCACAGCACTTTTGTATTGCACACCCACGACTTTTCAATCTCTAGAGAACTTCTGATGAAACTAGTATATTTATGGAAAAATTTAAATAAGCTTGCAACTATCCCCTGCTGAACTTGTATGGCTGCAACATAAGAACTTCAAAAAAATGTACCTTGCGGGATAGCAAATAAAAAGCAAAGTGGTCATGAGCCGCCTTGCTCGAACATGTGCACAAGTCGCCTAATGTACCCGGCGTCTAAATAAATGACACGCCGAGAGATTTATGTAGGCACTCCAATCACCGTTGAGCCGGAAAGAACTACATTTCGCTTTTTTCCTCTCCATGTCCCAATTTGTGGCTTATGCCAGAGAGGGAGAGAGGCATGGACGCTTATGCGAGTTTCCTGCACGTTCGAGATGGCTAATGAAGTGGGTGCTCGTCGAACGGTCCTGTGCAATCGATTTAGTGGGGTGGCAATTCAATTAATAAAGCGATGTGGCGATTACAGAATTAGGAGGATGACTGAACGGTTTGAGCCTTTGCTGAGATGCGTTTGGGCGATTGGGAATGACTTCGCTGGCGTTTTTTTGTCCGTGGTAGGTTGTCCAGTCTTGCACGGTTTGACTGCTGACGCAATCGTTGCAGCAGAGATATCTTATCCGCTAATTCATCCTTCATGGCACATTCAATCAGATAGATATTCAAAAGCTTTTGCCCTCGTTGTGATTTACGTCACACAAGAAGGGGCCTGCTTTGGGACTATGGATAATGACGAACGGACTCACGTGATGACTCAGTGCAGTGTCAAGGAAAATACACGAACACAGGGGGCTCATCGCTCTCTTGTGGTGTCATGCAAATCGATGAGTAAAAGCGCTTCGTTTTTACATGTGTACGAGTTCTGTAGTTCTTATAAAAAATGCCTAGGTGTACTTGAAAAACGGTCTATGTTCGTACATATGTCGAACTACGGGTAACCTACACAGACGGGAAGGGAAGTGCAGGGAATGTTGATAGCTTCGTTATATATTCCCTGGTTCATTAGCTATCGTGCTTCCTAAGCAAAATCCAGTGCTTTTTCTCAACTTTCTATTTGCCTAAATCCGTCCGAGAACCAATTTCCTGTAGTTTAGCAACACTTCTAGCGAAAAAGCTGTTTTCTGTGGCGTCATTCTTTGAGCTGAGAGAGAACGAACTGCCCAAAGAATTTCGGGAGAGCGCAGAGCAGCCGCAGCGCGAGTGTGCATGCGATTTCCGTAGGCGCAGACGCGGTCCGGCCGAGAACACACAAAGAGGGCGGAGTGCGTCAGAGCGCCACCGTCGCGGCAGCGCTGTCAGTCAGCTGAGCGGGGCCCCGTCGAGCGAGGCCTCTCACGTACCGATCAGCAGCCCGGGTGTGTATGTGTCTGTGTGTGTTCGCCCTCCAGAACGAATAGCCGGTAGTTTATATCATCTTCTAGATGTTTCTGCTATCGCAGCAATTAAGGGAATCTGGGGAATCATGAGTGGGTTATATATTTGTAAGTCTTTGGGGACCTTTTAGGGGCCAGGAACATATCACTGCAGCTTCATAATCCGCAGAGGTTATTTATATCCTGCTGCTCGATCAGTGGGGCTTCTCACGTTTCTAGATTCTTATTTTTCCTCACTTTTGTATATCTTCCTTCTTTCTCGCAAACAGCGAAGCCTTTATATCACGGCAGAAATGTAAACTATGTCTATAAAGACGCTGCAGGATTGTTCTGGAAAACGTCGCAAATGCGGCTGTAATTCTGTAAAATCTGTCTGAGATGTAAGCGCTACGATTTGCTTGAGATCACATCCTCCCCAAGATTCGACATTTGAAAATTTGCTTACCTAAAATTGACATCGCGTCTGGGATAGGGCGGCCTTCTCGTTGTATCTCTTATTGCTTTTCTAACACAAAGCGCTCGATACAGGCAGCTGTGGCCTTCTTCGGCTCTGAAACATGGCAAACCTAATGTGTGCAACGTCCATATGTGTAGATGATAATTGTGTGTCATGGTCTTTTCATGTTCTTTGAAAGAAATCGATTTTCACACAGCCAGGAAGGCCGCCCACATGGCCCCACAAGCACTCAATGCGTGCTAAGTTCACCCTCTTAGAGAGGCAGATTACACTGAAAGTCTTGGTCACCAATCTCCCACCATATCTTCTCTACCCTTGCATTGCTTCTCTTTTCGCCTCAGGAAAATGGAATCATTTCTAACTCTCAAACAAATAATAAAAAATTACTTCTGTTTCTTTTCATATGCATTATTGCAGTACAAGTCATAGTGTCATTCAAATCTTTGTCCTTGCCCATTTTCGTACGCGTTCGCCTGCACTTGCGAGAGTCAGGCGATGCGAGCACGCCCCATTATCGGTGCCGCGGGTAGGGGACGCAGCGTTGCGGCATGTTTATTTCAGTGCAAGAAGACTTACTGTGAGTGTAAGTGCGTTACTAAAACTGATGTACGCAGCTTTTATAGTTTTAGGATGCCACCCTTTGCGAACTTTTAACGGACTGTGTAAAAAGTGCAATACACAATGACCTATCAGCCACGTTGCTCGCAACGCATGCGTCGCTTGTTTCTATGGGTGCGCTGTTTTTTGCAAACAAGCAATTCTGAGAGAAATTTGCGTGATGTGAATATTTTTCAATGCCCAGAGGAATAGCTTTAGATGAATCACAGATTACTGAAAGGGTTAGGTGTTACAGAAATGACGAAGATGGGTTCCACTAGCCTTGCTGCATATACAAACTGTCCTCTCCACGATTGCTGCTACTCCTGCTCTGCGTCTCTAACCTGCGGCACGCATAGCTAACATGTTAGCAACATGCAACAAAATGTTTGCAGCATGCAGCAACATGTTAGCAAAATGTTTCGATGTGTAAGCCTACATGTTGCTGCATGTTGTTAGCATGCTGATCAACATGTTGTTTGTCGCATGCCAGAGACGCAGAGCAGGTCAGCAGCAATCGTGGAGTGGACGGTTGTGTCTGTATCGCTTCGCTGTTAAGTATCTGAATACAACTTTTTTTTGAGACTATGGAGCGTTGGGGAGTTGTTGTTCGCTTCATACTACAAAAATGTCTTGTTCTGGGAAGTTTACATCTTTGCATTTGCGAATGCAGCTCCTGACTGCTTTCCCGGAAGTATGGCTCAGCTCCACTTTCTCTTGTTCAGTTGATGCCATGACTGAAATTGGAAAATGACTTTCTTCTAGAATTGCCTGCGCGGGCTTAGCAACCAAGTGGCAAGCATAATGGACGGGACCTTTTGACAGAATGTGAATGTAAGGAAGCTAAGCCATTGCGTCAATCTACGCTCCAATCTCGTATTTACTGAGCGGCCTAGGGACGAGGTTTTTTGACTGCATCTGGACTCTTCGTTCTCCACAATCGATATTCAATGACGACTAAGATTTTTTCCCAGCCAACATACATTCATTTGCTCGGCGATGTTTGTCACGTCAGCATTTTCTGCAATTTCGATATCGCAGCAGAGAAGAATTGATCTATCAAACATAAGGGCCTGAACAGGAACAGCCAAGAGGAACCTTGTCCAGTTCAAACATGTACCAAGAAGATGGTGCGGGAGCAAGGAGGCGGGCAAGCGAGCGGAAGCGCGGCGTGTTTAATGCGTGACCGTCGCGGACTGTATGTTCTGCATGATTCTTCGCTTGGTGCACTCTCTACCTTTTCATCATGTGGAATGGTTTATTCTCTCAAGTGCTCCTCTACTCCCTGTTATATCAAATTGCCTACCTACTTAGCGGTTTCTTTGACTACAGCTGAGTAGACTTTCTGCTTAATATAGTGTGCTTATACACTGCAGGTGAAATGCGGCAAAATTTGCGCGTGAACAATTAGCAACGCCAGTGACGCCGATCAGTTGCGCGCACAAAATGCTAGCATTGCTGGCGTGGCTATTTGTTCACGTGTAAATTTTACCGTTTTTCACCTGCATCCAAGAACACAATATTGTACAGAGACTGTCATAGGCAAGAGAGCTGATTTTTCTATAGGTTTAGTTCAAATTTCCATATTGAGTGTGACAAGGAATGTGCGGTTGTACCCTGCGATGCGAAAGAATGTATGAGAGAACTTGCTTTTTGAACTTTCCATCATCTTGTTCTTGTTTTCTAAATCTTGCTCAAAGGACTTGAAGTATGTGTAACTTCTCAAGTACATAGTTGAACCTTTACTGTCAACTTCATCAAAGCAGATCCCATCTATTCAAATCAAATGTGCAAGGATCCATTGCAGAAGGGCCATATGTAATGCAAAGCACTTGACAAAAGAGATGCTCAAATGCATTTGGTATGCAGCAGCATACCAACGTAGTGCATTAAATTGCACGGAACGACAAGCTATAATCATTCGACTGCAGCCTGCTCTCTTGCTCTAATTTATCCTTTTGAACTTCCAAGGAAGCCAATGATGCATACAGTAGGTGTCAACCACGTGCTCTCTTTTCCGTAGCAACTACGCATCCGCAGAATTTGGGCATGAGCAGCGATCCCCAGTCAATGTGCACGCAACACAGCACGTAGCTCTAGCGTGCGGTTGAGAATCGGAAAAGGAGCACATCATTGGCCATATCCTGCTTCGAATGGATATGCAAATCAACAAATTCCGCTCCTGAAAGCAGGACGATTCGCATGACCGTAATGCTTTTCATAAACCACCGCCGCGCATGAAACACCCCTGGCGGCTTTTGCCTGAGCAAAGCAGGGAGGGAAGATTTGCAACGTGCGTGACGTGTCAAGGCAAGTCAAAATCAGGGCGGTGCTGGAGACCGCTCATGCGAAAAGACCGTCTCCCCGTCCACTCCGCTATTGCTATAAGCTCCTGCAAGACGAAGGCGGTCGGTTCGATGTGCGACGTGGCTGTGACGCGGCTGTGACGCGGCTGTGACGCAGCCATGCCGCAGCCGCGTTGCACATCGAACCGACCGCCTTCGTCTTGCAGGAGCTTATACTCTTGCTCTGCGTCTCTGAACCTGCGGCTCACCTGCCTAATACTTAGGCAACGTGCAAGAGCATTTTAGCTACCTGTTTGCTGTTGCCTTAAATTCAACATGTTGCTACTTGTTGCCAGCGTGTTAGCCATGCGTGCTGGACTGTTAGAGACGCATAGCAGGATAACAGTGATCATGGAGTGGGATGCCTGCGTCTGACACTAGGTCCTTAGGTGGCAGTTGTCAGCTGAGTGCGTTTTCGCTGATGTGCAGAACGCAAAAGGTGGACAGGTCGTTCCACATTCAAGGTCTCGGCCTGTTCCCTTGGGAAACACGGGACCTTAGTGATAGTGTGTTCTCCCCTTGGTGTTCTTGGCGAGGAATAGAGTTGGAGGTTGGAGGACGATATGTCGCTGGGTTTTCAAACGCGCAGACAGCTAGCACAGGCTTATGTCCGGAGATGCGTGGCTTGTTACGAATTTCTGTAGTGAATCTCCCCTTTCGGCGACGTAATGTCCTTTGTGCGTGGTAAGGGAATTGCGACCAAGTTGGAGTCGTCCACTTCGGATTGAGATGGTGAGATTACAGTGTGTTGCAATAGCAGCCCCCTATTTGAGTAAGTGCTTAGAGTGCCTTCATACCGCGCCGGCAGACGCCGCTAGCCGCCTTTGCGCACCCTTCCAGTATCCGGGCCCCAATATCGAATCCACGAATCTTGCTTAACCCATTGACGACGATGTGGACCACCGGTGGCCTACGCGTTTTTTGCTGCCAGGGACGATGTGGACCCCCTGTGGCCCACACCTCTCGCAAAGTCGTATTATCTGCAGGTCTAGTATTTTTTCCACATATGAATATTTTTTCTAATTTTTTGTATTCCTAGGACCTATAGGCTCTGTCGTTCAAGAAAATGTTAATAGTTGTTTACAAAACAATGCTGCATTTCGTAAATAAGCACGAAACCTTGCCACACTGAAAGTGTTGTGCAAAATCGCGTCGTCCCACAGCGCCGCCGCGCAAAATTGGGATCGGCCATACTATTCCTGCTATTCCTACGACTCCCGCGAATCCTGCGATTCCTGTGAGTCCCGCACAGTTTAGACGCCGCTTAAATGAGCGCGTGTTGCGTGTTACGTGTTTTACGCAACACGCGCTCATTTAAGCGGCGTCTAAACTGTGCGGGACTCACAGGAATCGCAGGAATCGCAGGAGTCGTAGGAATAGCAGGAATAGTATGGCCGATCCCTTAGGCGTCGTCGATGGGTTAAACTTGGTTATTGGGCTTACTGGGCGTGCTGATTACAAATAGCATAATCTTCTAACGTTTTAGAAAGGCCTTGGAGTGTTGGGCTAGTGCGCAAAAGCGGCTATAGGCGGCTAGCGGCAGCTGCCGGCGCGGTATGAAGGCACCATTAAGCCCCGCTTAGGGACCCGTCATACTTCGCCGAAAAAAGCCCAGAGAAGCCCAAAAAAGCCCGAAAAAGTCCAAAAGCGCCAGAAAGAGCCGGAACACTTCTCGCACATTTTGGCGCTAAGGCATGTGTTGACTTCGCAATCGAGCCTTTTTGTCATTTTCTGTCGTCCGCATGATAAGATTACGTCAGAATTCTACCAAAAGTTTGTTTCTACATTCCGGCTCTTTCTGGCTCTTTCGGGCTTTTTTGGGCTTTTTCGGGTTTTTCGTGCTTCTTTGGGCGCTTTTGGGCTTTTCGGGCTTTTTTGAGCGCTTTTGGGCTTTTTTCGGCGAAGTATGACGGGTCCCTTAATAAGATGAATTTCGAAACGAGGAAGTTGCTTCGGAAGAAGACTGCCGGCATCTCCCCATGTCAGCATGCCTGGTTTGGAAATGACACTGCTGAACTGGGCTTCAAGTAGTAGAACTGTCAACGATGTGATTAATATGAAAAAAAAAGATTCGAGCATCTCTAGACGCTTCGCAGCCGCTTTCTGATGCCATCGCTTTTGGACCACCCACGTAGGCTGGGACGGAAAAATATGCATCTGGGGCGATTGTCTTGCTCCGCAATACAAATTTCGCAGCAAGACTGGGAAATTTAGGCTGTACCTCCCGAATATGCGAGGTCGTGCCCGCTGGACTTGGGTGCAGAACTCTGCTAAAGTCGACTGCATGAAATCGCCCATATCGCTGTAGGGTGAACGCAAGCGAGCGTGCCTGCAACGGGGCCTCTGAGTACGGGCGCTATAGTGACTCATGCGCGCGATTGCCAATGTTAGCTTGCAAGAGACCCAACAGGGTTCAGCTTGGGCTATTTCGCGCAGTCAACTGTACGCGTTAAGGCACGTTCATGCGACCGCGCGTCCTCGCAAGGCATCTTAGACTGTCGCAAATGACTTCGGTAGAAACTGAACTTCCAAAACTTCTGGGGACGCTTTTATTGGGCTATGTGGGTGGCCCGCCCTACCTGGCAGCTCCAATAGGAGTGTCCCCTTGGAAATTTCAGAAGTTCAGTTACCCGGGAGTCACTTGCGATTGTTACGAGATGCTGCGGGACCGATGCTGGCTGATGCAGCCTATATTCAGAGGTCCCGCTACTTCCATCTCATCACAGTTGAGTCTGGATGGGCGTTGCCTTTGAGCGTTATGGTGGCGAAGAGGGCGTGTTTGCATCGTGCGCGAAGACTGTGGACGCGGCCTTGGCACGATTTAGCCCTGTTAATGCGAAGGTCCTCCACTAGTTATTATGCACGTGATGTTGCGTGCGTAGGAATACTGTCTTCTGGTCCGATTCAAGCCGGCTGTATCAGGCTCAGTCTACTGGAAACTTGAAATCGAAGTCGGTTTCCGCGAAAATTGCACCTAAAGTACATTAGTGGACAGTTGCTTACGGGCCCGTTCAACTTTGTTCGCACCTCCTTTGATAGTTAAGCTTTTCGTGTACTGTATGCAGCTTGAGTCAGGCAAATGCAAAAATGACGGGATTGTCTTGGGTTGGTAGAAAGAGACGGTCTGTCGCAATATGTAACGGCCGAAACATTGCCTTAAAATTGCGCGTGCGCAACGCTAGAGTTTGCGGTGCATGTGCGGCAGCATTGAGGAGAGATCGAAAATGGAGGAAGAACGGACACGTCTGTGGTCTGCTACAGGTCCTATGGCGACGACCTGTAGCAGATATGGACGTGACGCAAAACCATAGCGGTACGATGCGCATCAAGCTAGTTTCGGTCTGACCCAGACTGAGGCATACTATTCTTCCCTGCGTTGGCAGAGCAGTGTGTGCCAGTAGCGGTCCCAGGATTTACTCCTGGGGGGTGGGCGGCAGAAATTCTTTCAAGAAAAGATGGGTGGCGCTAGCCTGGGATCCAAAAATTTTTTGGGGTGCTTCTCAAAACTTTTGCGGGCCGTGACCTCTAGAAGGAAAGGGGCGTGGTTTTCGCCACGCTTCCCCAAAAAATTTTTTACACAAGCTACAGTGAATTTCGACCCGCTTTAGGCGGAAATTGGACTGGCGGGAGTCCGCCTCGCAACAGCTCGCGCCGTTTCGCAGCTACAGTATATCCTATCGTGCTGAGAACCCATGTCTGCGTCTCTTCAATCTCCTTAGTCTTTGCTCGGCAAAATGCCAGCGCTATGCGCTCGCGAAGCCTCCAGCGATGCGCATGCGCTGCTCCACGTAGGATGTCTCGCCTAATCCGGGATGAAATCGACTGTACTTTGCTTTTCAAAAAGTTTTACAGATTATTTTTGTTTTTTTTTTTCAAAAGTGGATGTCACTTGCACATTTTTACAATCCATGAAAATAGATTTCAAAAATTCTCCCCCCCCCCTCCCCGGTCCACCAATGGCGCGTGCTGACGCTTTCGAGTCATCCTGCGTAAGGAAAAACCGCGCGGGGTTTGGTCAAAGTAGATTTAACGCTAAAGTTGGTATTCTTCCGTTGCCGACATCGTTTGAGCGTAAACAACGAGGGCGTAGCATGCTCTAGAGCAAGTTGGCGGCACTCTCAAGCATGCATCTGTTTTCGCGCAAATGTTGTCGTCACTGCAGTGCACTACTTCAACTGTCATATTACTAGACAGTAAGTTACATCGTATATGCTCATTTACGAGTAATACATAAATTCGCAAATTCACCGCCTCCATTCTGTCATACCTCCATTGTCATGAAAATGCAATTTAATTCAAACAGCGACGTATCGCATGGTAATTACTTGCTGCTGTGCTTGGAAGTGTGTGTTATTCGGGTGACGCGCATTTTGCGTGCATGAACGCCGGCTGTTTGACGCGCACGAGGATGCTATCGACACGAAGTTCCTGTTTACACACCCGGGTTTATATTGACCTTTGACTTCCCGCAGCAAGTCATTTCCTTCTATGTCCTCTATATTCAATGGGATATATTTTAACCGCCCTATATATTATTAGTCCGCTAACAATACATGTCAATACTAGATAATTATTCAAGGTATCGAGCCTGTGTGCAGCCCGACACCTACTGCGCATCGTACGGGTACAGTGAGAGGCAGGATCTTCACTGCAACTTCAGGTCAGCTTTCGAACTTTTACTTTCATTTTGGAGATTTACGTCGTTTACATAATTCTTGTGTATAAAGCTGAATGTCTGCTTGTCTGTCTGTATATCATCGACTCCACGATTCGTGTAGAGGCGGGGTTTTGCCAGCTCAAAGCGTAGCGGTTTTTGATGGCGAGAGAGTACGAAAAACAATGCTTTGACTTGGAGTTTCAACAAGTTCATCCTTAATATCAGGGTAAGTCCGCAACTTGCCTCTACACGAATCGTGGAGACGATCATATGTGTATCTGTAGAGTAGAAATTCCTGAACCATTTCGGACCAAACGTTGCACATATGCGGGGGGGGGGAAAGTACAAGGCCACTTTTCGTTAATTACCGATATTTGCCAAATTTGAGCTACGGCTTGGTTGGCACAGGGGACAAGTATGGTTGATTCGTTGACCGCACAGACTGACATCAGTGCGGAGCACGTACCGCGAGGTGAAACATTGTTTCAGTACAAATTCGCTATTGTAATCGTGCGCTCGCGACAAGTCAGCCGCGCCGCGCGTGGTCCGCAGGGTTGGAGCAGTCCGTGCGGTAATCGACGATACGTGCTGATTAGGAACTCAGCAATTAGTTTTCAAATTAACGATCATCTTTACCAATTTTATTGATTTTTTGCAAAGTTTGAGCTACGAGGCTAGCAGTTGGCATAGAGCAGTAAGTGAGCATACTCATTACTAAATCACCATTAGTTTCTGAAATTACCGAATACCTTTCTCGAATTCATCGATTTTTTGCAAAATTTCAGCTACAGGGCTGAGTGGCACGGGGGGGGGGGTAAGTGAGCATGCTTACGAATGCAGTATTAGTTATTAATATGATCATTCACCTTTATCGATTTTATCGATTTTTTTCGAGTTTGAACTACGGGACTGAGAGTTGGCACAGGGCAGTAAGTGAACATACTCATTACAAAATCAGTATCAATCATTAGAATAATCATTCACGTTGATGGGAGTGACTGAGCATGCTGTTTACCAACATATAGTGGGGAAGGGGCGCTACCGGCGTATATAGGAGGGTTCGGTATAGAGAAATGTTGTGCGGAACTAATGCATGCAGATATCTGTCAAGTGTATTATTGACGGGGAGAGACGAAGCCGGGTATGCCAGCAAGTATCTCATAAAGCTACACACACACCTCATATCGCTGTCAAGGTCGAAACAGCTGTTTAAATCATCATCCCCTACATTTGCTAGTACCCTTACTCTACGTCTATGACCTGCAGCACGTATAGCTAGCATTTGGCAACGTGCAACAACTGTTTGCAGCATGCAACAACATGTTTGCAACATTTGGCTATCAGCCTTAGCGCCAGCATGCTGCTGCTTGTTGCCAATAATTGACCAGAAGTGCCGGAGGTCAGAGACACAGGTATCATCTATTCTAAGACTAGGAGACGCGAAACCGCATTGCGGACATTGTCGTGACAAGTTTGAGTATGTTCTTCCCTGTTTGCATAAAGTGAATAAAGCTGGACGGGATAAATAACAAATATAAACAACCTGCTAAGTACACGATTAGGCTTGTTTAGACAATGTGTGCAATGCAGTCTCGCGTCTCCTAGTCATGGAATGAATGATAGCAGCAACTGTGCTGGGCAAACCATTTTTGTTGTTAGCTGGAACATTGATATGTTGCTGCATGTCGCCAAATGTTAGCCGTGCGTGTGTGCCGCAGCAGTGACGCAGAACAGGGCTTTAGCTTGGAGTGAACGAGGTCTTCGGAACTTCTCCCCTGCGTTGCTTGAACTCAAGCAGCTTAGAAGCTAAGGAGTTTGGCACAACAAGCCCTTTCTTCCTTGGTGGCCTTACAATAACTCGACTTGTGGTACTTCACGGCGGCGCTGCATCAAAGGAATTGGAAACACTTGGATAGGGTTTAGTCCCGAGTGGAGGCAGGCGATTTTTTTGCGAGGTGGCTCAAAAATCAGTCATTCAACTATTGTGGGGTGCAAAAAATGTACAGGTACATCCGCGCGTGGTACATGCACGCTTCTGGTTATGTCGTTCCGCCTCCATCTATAATGAGACCCTTCTGCGTTGCTTTTGCAGCAGTTAAGCCGAGAGAAAATGTCTGCTTCATGCTAGTGATGTTAAGGGAAGTGAGCAGTGACACTTTGCGCAACAATGGCCTCTAATTTCCACTTGTCCATTGCGTATGCACGACCGTGTCAGAACTTGAATTATCAATGTGTCAGAGATCATTCGTTTGAAGTTGCTGTTTGATAGCAGCGTTGCCGGATCTGGGTTCTGGCGAATCAAATGACAAGGATTGAAGGCCAGCGAGCATGGGAAAATATGCAATCCTCTCAAGGACGCAGCGCAGAGCTCAAGCGAGGCAGCCGCGCGGGACGGAGCCGCATGAGCTGATGACACTGTCACTGACATTTGATGTACTGTTGCACAGGACTGCTCTAATATTTGTCACTCTATTTTTAGGTGTATAAGCCGCACTTTTTTCAAATTTTCAAGCGAGCCGCTCAGCCGCTTCATTATGTTTTGGAAATCGATTTTTATGCCGCACGATTCCCTAAGCAATACGTAGCACGGTATGGGGTTGGTCGCAAAGTCATCTAAGCTCCGGGTCAGAAGTCACACTGCGCGCGGTGGCCTCTCGCCGCACCCATATTTTGTGCCTCACAAAAACTCTCCGGTGCCAAGGTGGCACGGCGCCACAGTATGGGGGTGGGGGGTGGCGGCAGACACATGACTCGATGCCTTAGGTAACATTGCGGTAGGAGTACTGACGGGAGCTGAGGCCTGTACCGTTTGACGTTGCGTTGCGGCCTAGCTTCACGAAAAATCGTGACTGCTGATCCGTACCCACTTCTGGCCTGTTTGGGCTGGTTGATTCTAGAAAAAAATCCCCAGGATGAACGTTGCACCTTAAGCAAATACCATACTTACCCTCTTCTTGTACTTCATCCGCTCCAGAACAAATTGCAACGTCACTAGGTGAAAGCTAATTTGTCATTCGCGGTGGCATAGGAGCAAAATTTTGCTCAGATTGGCCTTCACGCAGCACTAGACGACAAAATTCATCATAGTGACGCCATCTTTTGTATTAAACGGATGAATTGGACGAAGTGGACAAGTATGGCGCCTGCTTACACAAGCGCAGCGCGGGTTACCATGAGCGCAATCATATTTCGGTTGCTCTGGTCATCCGCATCCATGAAACATTTCAAATGAAGAGATTTGGATATATTTGTCTTTCGAATGTAGGGATCTTGAATATTCGAATATTCATCTTTTTGAAGAGTTCGCATCCGATTATTCTATTCGTATGATCGAATAATCAATTGATCCAGTCCAAAGTACATTACCCTTCACAGTATTCTGTGAAGATTGTGCATGATTGTTTTCTTGTTTGATGAAGTGCCGCATTATCAGCGGGTGTAGACTCTTCGAGGGCTTTTGCCTCGGTACGCAATGTAATACTGTAATGTAATAAACAACAAGAATGGTGGTTCAGTGGTTTATTGGGATTACTGTAACCAAGAGCGTAAAATAGTGACCTTGGGTGGTCAAGGTGTGATCAAGAGTGAGGTGAGACCAGGGCCTGGCACCAGCTGGCACGGGGCAAGCTGGATATCGTTTTTGGGGCAAAAAGCAAAGGGGGTTTCGTTTTTGTGGGTGAAGACATACGCAAAATTGGCGGCGACGACCTTTTTTTTTTTTTTTTTTTATTTTTTTTTTTTAGTCGACGTTTCGTTTTTTGGGGGATTTTGGGGATTTTTTTAGGATTTTAGAGGGGATATCGTTGAGGATCAAAGGGGACTTCGTAAAATTTCCCAAAAGTCAAGGGGGACTTCGTAAAAATTGGCAAATTTCAAAGGGGACTTCGTTTTCAAAATTCCCTGGTGCCAGCTCGTGCCGAGCCCTGGGTGAGACCTCCCAGGTGGACGCATGACAGATATGGTCCGCCCACTCGGCTATGACGTCACAAGGCACGGGTATCAGGAATCATCTATCGGTCGATGATACGCATCGAGTTTACTTACATATCATCATTTTAATGGACGAGCTGAAAATCAACTCTAGAAGATGTTTTGTTGTGTTTGCATATCCGTCGGAAGTTTCGATTTCAGAGATCCCGTCACAATCTGCTGTTTTTCAAACTATAGAAGAGCATTGGACTGGAGTTTGAAAGTGTTATCACTTTCTTTCTCGTTGATCTACGGGTATTCGTAACATCGCCTTTTACTCTCTGGGTCATCTTCGCGACTGCCTTAGGAATTACTACTGCCTACACTAACAGTGAGTTTTTTATTACATTTCTTGGCGCAAGTATCGTTAAAAGGGCCGGGCATACTTCACGCGATTTCACTCGCGACGCGATTTGGCAATTCGCCAGAAGTCTTCAGATGCAACACTAGCAAACTGCACATGCATAGTGTGTATAACTTACGTGGACTGATAAAATGCCCTATCTTTCGTACATTTAAAATGTGCTTACAGTGAGTTATGGACAGTTGGAATGCTGCCAAATCGCGTCGCGACTGAAATCGCGTGAAGTATGCCCGGCCCTAAAGGCACCTTCACCCAAATGGGGGTTCACGAGATTAGATGGCATACTAATGTGGGCTCCCACACCAGGCCAACCCCAAGTTGCGCAGCAAAAGACTGCTTTCAGAACAAGAAATCTGCTCCGGAAGGGACGTAATTCGTTGCTGGTCACTCCACCCACCTGGGTGGGTGGAGGAACGAACGCCTCAATTAGGCATAGCCTCCGCGGGCTGCTGGTCCTTTCGTCCTAATGTTGTGCATCGTGTTGGGACCAGTGGTCCGCGGAGGCGGTGCCTAATTGAGGCGTTCGTTCCTCCACCCCATCTGGGTCACCTCGCCCACTTTTCAGGTTTGCAAATGATGTGCCCGCGCGCCGCAGTCCCGCGACCTGCATTGCACACAGAACAGATTTCGCAGTCGTTGCACCGTTTGCTACAGTACCCCTTCCGCGCCCAACAGGTTGTTCGTGGCGGGACCGCGTTCAACTCAATGGTTTCGAAGCTAATCACATCGAGTTAATCACATCGTTTTCGGTTGAAATTGCATTTGCGTGGTTATTGCCAAGAGTTTGACCCTGTGGTTTACTCGACAAAGCACTAGGACCAATACTTCAAGTTGAAGAAGGGGAAATACGCATCGACCCCACTTTGCATTTCACCGTAATTGCCCTAAGCTCAACTGTCTACTGAAAATTACTGTCTTTTCCATCAAGTATGGATTAGATCAGTCAAGGGTTTCGATATATCATACATAGAACTGAACAGACCTATTTAGGTGGGTGATACTTTTCGGAAATCAAAAAAATAGCTATTGTTCTGTTTGTTTTCTATTTGAAGAATCTTCCGGTAACTGGTGCTGGTAAAAGCCAAGAATGAATGTCGCTGTTGAAAGCTATATTTTACTATATAACCTAGTATAGTTTACCTATTGCCTTGTTCATGGAAGAGTGACGACATGAATTTGGATCTTACACCGTGGATAACTTAGAGAACTCGAGATAGTGTGACAATTTAACTATTGCTGAGGTCTTTCCATCCATTGACACTGAGCTCATGCCAAAGCACAAACTAACGCAACAGCATTAGGCACTGTGTGCGTTCCTAGCAAAGCGAAAGCCGCTATTTGCTGGCAGGACCATCGTGCACTCAGGAACTTCAAAAAGAACCTGCGATGCTATCTGCACCCATGATCACTGTCACTTTGCAACGTTTTCTCTTCGCATTTTGTCACTATTTGTACGTAAGGCTGCATCCGAAGGTTCGGATTCCGGTGCTGACTTAACTTACAGTATAAACGTAATGCGACCACAAAAGGTGTCCCCTCTTACTTCCTTTAATCTTACTAATTGCATAAAGTGGTCTTGGAGTTGATATGATGTGTTGCTGATCCATTGGATCGTAGATATAATACATCGATTCAAGTTACACTCACTGACTAGTAGCCGGTAGGTACTACACTGACTAGCTAGCATCGTCAGTGTTAGAGCTTATTATAGGATTTCTCTGAGGAATTGAAGTGAATAAAGGTGAGAAGTATCAATAATCATATTTACGTTTCATTAGTCACTCATTTATTACAATTGAGGGGACTGAAACAAAAAAAAAAACAGCATTCGCCATGTAGATGGCGAAAACTCAGACTAGAAGAATGGGGTGACCGGAATATAAGTCTTGGGGAACCTTCATTCAAACATTGATACGCTCGTTATCCTAGTAAAAAACCTTGAAAGAGAGAAAGAAAGATGATCCAGGGCTGAAAGTAAGAGAAAAAAAAACAAAGCTACCAAATATGCCAATTTAGACAACGGTTTCGAAAGCAAGAGACTCAGAATCTGCGTATGATACATCACCTGTGTTAGGTGCAAAAAAAGTGCTCATCTTTTGACGTCCTTGTAGTTCTTGTGCGACCAGACCTCGGACAAGAACTGCCTTTGCATTAGACATTCTCATTCTGAAGTTCGCAGGTACGCCGGTCCCGCCACGAACACCCTGTTGGGCGCGGTGGGGGGTACTGTGGCAAACGGTGCAACGACTGCGAAATCTGTTCTGTGCATTGCACCCTTCTCCAAAACGGGGTTTTTTGAGGGTTCTCGACTCTATATTCGAAATCAGGGCCTTCAGAAGGCCGGGAAGCGAAAAAACATGGAAGCCGAGAATTTAGGTGGACGGTGCCTTTAAAATTATGTTGCTTTTTTTATAGCCATAGTCTATGGGAGACGTTGTTTTGCACGATAGTAATTTGAATAGCAGCTGTGCGCGTGTAGACATGTCGCGCACGCTGCAAGTTCCTTCTATCTTTTTTTGCTTGCGCCGTGTCCAGAGTTGCGCCTGTCGGAGCCGTAACAGTGCCGTGCTGGAGATCGATCAATAGGCCGGACGTGTAATGTACTGGCACAATTCCGACACACGGGCCACTCTGGATGCAGCTTTTAACCGCAAGCTGCCACACAGTGTGTTGCGCGTAACAGCGTCGTGAGCGGAAGTCTAATTGCATTTGTCTTGCGAATCGGCCCGTATCCTATAGAATGCTTTTCCTGCTAGGTTCTAGTCGGTGAAGTCGGAAAGTTGGGATCAAAAGAAGTCGTTTGGAATCTCAACCAGTCTCAACTTTTTTCCTTTTTTCTAGGTTTTTTTTGCAAAGAAAGTCTAAATTACGGGACAGAAACTATAGGCCGTCCGCGCAGGGCGCGGAGAGTGCGCAAGGTGTGTATTGCGCGTCACTCCTCTTTCCCCGTGCACTCTCGCCGCCTGTTTTTCTCTGCGCTCAACTATCTTCACTGGACGCAACAGCGTTGCTCTTCGCGCGCAGCGCGGACAACCTATACTTGCTGATGAATATGGTGAATTTTTTCATCAACATCGGTATAAGAGCTGACCCTGACGAAGGCGGTCGGTTTACTTTGCTAAGCGATGAGAACGACACGTCTTATATCACAAGGCTGGGTTCAGACTGATCCGTAAGTTCCGGAGCAGTTCCAGCGCAGCGCACAATTCGAGCGCCGTGCTGGTACTGCTCTGGAACTTACGGGTCAGTATGAACCCAGCCGAAGGTGCGCTCGCGCACGCATCTCTTACATGGACAGCCGCCATCATTTGGGATAGGCTTCAGCTCTAAATAATGCCCGGGAGTGTCGTTTTTAGTGCCCATAACAATATCGTTTTCCTATTCATTCGTCGAGAAAATTGCTCCAAATAATCAGATCAGACCAAAACGCGCAAGTGAATTATTGCCTCAAATCTTTCCTTTTTTGCATCCCAAGGTTTTGTATGTAGTTTTTGAGGATTGCGTATTTAAAAATCCCATCAGTGTTGCGGTTTTGCTGTACGATAGCACGTCTTTGGATCGTTAGTGGCATATTCATTTGTTGACTCATGAGCAAATTTGCTCTAGTAAAGTACCTTTGCACTGAATCTCATAATTTGTTCGCATTCATCGTAACAAATTCTGCATGTTTTTCAGGCCTTATTAGACTACATTTCATAGCAATTCTCACGTTTTACCACTTTTTTGGCTTGTGGTTGCTGGTTCTTGTTTCTTAGCATCGTTGATGTCAAATTACCTGTCAGTTTGTTCACTTCAACAAAAAAACTAGGAGCTCCTTCGGGTGACTTTCATTTGCAGTTGTTTTTGCGCTGCTGCGGTGCGCTGCAAATTCAATGGCAATTGTTCGAAGCCGTTCGCCTTCATTTGTTTATCTTTTATCATTATGGTTTTCTGTGCACTTTTGGATATTCAGTACTTTCAAGTCTTTGGTTGTATGGGAGAGCCTTTTGGCAAAGCTATGCAATCTCAACGAATTTGTTGCCTTGAGATTCGAATCACATTACCTACCAGTGAGCACCGGGTACACGTCGTAGAGATTTGAACTTGTATGGTATTCTATCTTGGGAACTTAATAACTCACGAAGTCAGTGAAACGATTCCCTAAACTATAAATTCTTGCTACTACATTAGACTCATGAATATTTTATGAACAAGTTTATCTTTTTGCATGTCTAGTCTCACACTTTTTTAGAGGTGAACGAGCAGAAGATGTCCACGAACGGTTATGGTCACGGGATGGCTCGGGCAGCTTCTCATGCCGGTAAGTTTGAAGAACAACAGGATGTTGGTTGGGACCTTAGCAGTTAGCTTTTTGTGTCGCTTTGCTTTGTCGAGGCTCTTGAACGCTCGTTCAAATAATCTGCAACTTAAAACTGGTGCCTCTTCTCTATGAGCAAACTGGTCAGGTAGACGAGATACGTACAACGATTTCCGAGACTAGATGTTACGGATTTAAAGTCGTCGGAAAACTATGCGTATTCGGTTTTATGCCTGCTTATGAGGCCGAGAGCTTGATTCAAAAATCAATGGACACGAGGCGTGCACAGAGGAAGCCTCCAGGCATTACTTCTCTCTGCACGCAATGGGATCTGCTCTGTCTACCTCGGCACCTAGAAGAGGCACTCGAATTCTAGCGGGAATGCTAATAACGGATCAGTTTTGTGAGTTAGGTTATGAAACAGATTTTTGCTTCCCCTATATGTAAAATAGCTCCAGGTAAAAATCTCTTTGTCCGCTATTTTCCTAAAGTTATCGTCATACTGCAACTTGTCTTTTAGGCTCTTGGTATTCAAGTAATCCCAAGGAGTTGGATCGCCAGATAAGCAGATGGCTGGATGCTGCTGGCGAGCGTCTCGGTTCTGCTAGGGCTATCGTTTCGCCGTAAGTGTGACACATTGTGAAGTTTCTTCTTCTTCATTGTATCTTGCTCAATAGTAAAGCTTTCAGACATGCTGGTTATTCGTATTGCGGTGATACTGCAGCATACGCTTTCAAACAGATTGCACCTGAGTGTGTGTAAGTGATATCCATTTTCTAGTATCTTCCGGTGTCGAAACTTTTTTGATATTAGACACGATTTGCAATTACATAAAGTCGTCTGCACCTTGCATGACCCACTCAAATGACAGCAGGAGATTTTTTTCAGTCTTGTCTTTTTACGTTGATTTCCTTACTTCTCGAGTATGATGATTACAAATCAGTGGATTTTTAAATCATGAAAAAGTCAAAGAAACACAGGACCAAGCAACAAATCGTATTCTGACGCATTTCTAACAAATTCAACTTTTAAGAAGTGTGCCGTTTATGTTTCATTCCAGCGATCGCGTATTCGTACTTGGACCATCACATGTGGTTTGTTTGAACGGTTGTGCTCTCACGACTTGCAGTAAATATCGGACACCTATAGGAGACCTGCACATTGATCTGGAAGGTTTGTACTGCGGGACAGTCCGAATTTGTATTTTGCATTCTTTTTTGATTTATTCCAGTGAATGATGAGTTGCGAGCTACACGACAGTTCGACCTTATGGACCGCAGCGATGAAGAAGCTGAGCATAGCATTGAGATGCAAATGCCATTTATTGCAAAGATAATGGAAAGGTAAGCAGGTTGCATCAGTTTTCCGGATACAAGGTGTCTTCTGAAGGCAGTTTTTTTCCTTTAGCAACCCGAACGTGACCGTCATACCAATACTCGTTGGATCACTCACAGCGCCTAAGCAACAGGCGTATGGAAAGATTTTTGCTAATTACTTGGAAAATCCGCGTAATCTTTTCGTCATATCGTCTGATTTTTGTCACTGGGGTAGGTTCTGCACTCTTTTGGACCACCCCTGTTGGATCATCCTTGTTGTCTAAGGCAACCGCTTCCATTTCGCCCCTCATAATCCTAACAGTGGCCTCCCAATCTATGAACAGATTACACAGCTAGACAGAGATGTGAGTTGACTTATCTCCATTTTCCATAATGTATATCTTATTGTTAGACTCTTTTTGCCGTATTACTTTTGTCAGTCAAAGATTTGCAATCCACTAAGTTGCCGCTTGCATTTTTCAGGGCATGGACGCTATAGAAACATTGAATCCTCAGATTTTCAACGATTACCTCAAAAGAACGCAGAATACTATCTGTGGTAGGAACCCAATCACCGTCTTGCTGCAGGTAGCAGAGATTTGTAGATTTTGCTTTGAGAGAGAACAGAAAATTATTTGTAGATTTTGCTCTGAGATAGAACAGGAAATTGTTTTGTTTGTTTTTTTTTTCATTATTTATGTTTCAGGCTGCGGAGCACTTCAGAATGATGAACAATCATACTCATGAATTTCGTTTTCTCAAGTACTCTCAGTCAAATAAGGTTCGTTCTTGAACAAATCTTTTATTCAAACCGTTGCCTTTTTTGAATGAAAATCCTACTTTTTCTGTCAAATAATTGTGATCATCAGTATATCCTGGGATCTTCTCTCTTTTTCTTGATGACTCTACATGAAACCATGAAAGGATTTTCAGGCGCGGAGTGTCAATGATTCGTCCGTCTCCTATGCTGCCGGTGCTCTCTTCATGCATCCAAAATAATGAATGGGTTTCTTTGATACCGTTACAAGTTTTCTTCTACTTTTCAATTGATGTATTAACTCACTAACTTCACTTTCCCCATTCAGTTAAAATTTCCTTTCTCATTTCTATCCCGATCACCGCGCCTTCTACGTCAATTCAGTGATAATTTTCCTGGAAATATTCGTATGAGTGTGCAAGCACTGTCTTTTATTATTCGATTTAGCTGCTATTTTTGGTTCAGTTGCGCATTGTGCACTGAATCTTTTTCGTCACTCATCGCCAACCTCTGACATGATATCCAGTCGCTGTCTTGCGATCATAGCTTTTTTCCCTTCTTCTTTTTGGTGCCTTCAACGTTCACACTACTTTATCGCTTTTGCGTAATCCTAAACTCGGTAACAACCACTAGGTTTTGACGTTATTTTTTATCATTCTAGGATATCATGCCCGTTTCTTTCGCAAGATGTGATAACTGATAGTAAACAATTTGTCATTGTGTTCATTATTGATACCGTAGCAAGAGCATGCGATTCAGTTAATTTTGGTTTCCTGGAACGACAGGATCAGAATCCCTTTTTTCCCGTTTTCATTGCTTCACTCCATCGTTTTTACCCTTGAATGGTCACGGTAAACGGGAAATACAGGGATCATCAAAACCATAGCCGAGTTCTTGCCGCTGAAGTAGTCACTGTGACGCAAGCCATCATTTGTTCAAGCAGTTTCGAATGGAAAAAACATTTTTTGGACTTTTCTCTTTGCAAATTTGTCAAAAAACGGATTGAGGATTGCCGAAACCATGTTTTTATGACTGGGAATATCGAAGGAGAGCTGACCGGAGGAGGCGTAAACTTGCACGTTAAGATTACTTGCAAAGGAAGGGCACTTGGTGACCGTGGCCTTTTGTAGTAAGATGTGTACCAGTAAATGCGCCTTGAAATGCTGATCCCAAATCTATGTTCATTATCTGCTGTGCGACTCTTTGAACGAAGTTATGCACTTTCTTCCACATTGATTTCACGAGATTTAGGCAGTAAGAATCCAGTGTTTCCAGTCTTTTTAAAACTCTGCTATGTCAGGGACAGTTTTGCTGAGCTCAATGTAAAGCTTTTTCATTTGGACGCTCTTTTGTAGTGCGTAAGTGACCATATCAGCGATATTGGTGAATTCTGTCATCAAAATAACGCAAATTTTGGTGACAAGAAGTGTTCATAACTCGTTTCGGAAGAGCGCACAGTAGATATCGAAAGCAGATTTGCAATCAGCGCTTCAAGATGCATTTAACGATGTACGGTTTATTTGAAAAGGCCACTGTCACCAAGTGTCCTTCCCCTGTCAGTTTTTTGAAAAACGACGCAATTTCCGGAGTTGATTTTTTTTTTGAAAGCAATATATTATTGGTGTTGAATTAAAAACTTTTCGACTAAACGGAAAGGTTACCGACTTAGCGGTTTGTATTCTCAAATGCTTTTGTGTCAAGAACGTTTATTGGGTGTTCTGTATTTCTAATCACGGCCAGAAGTTTCGACGCCTCTTGGCTTCCTCAGAGGCCTGAAAAATGGCTTAAAGGCAGCGGCTCGGCAGATTGACCTACCTCAGATTTTGACACAGATGGATAGAAGGCCCTCCAAGTGAACCAAAACAGCAACTCCGCGCCGAAAATGTGAACTCAGCAAGCCAGGGGGGCGACCCAAGCGCCGCTCCCCTTCCTCCTTTCGCTCCCCTGACATCTTATTCGGACGAGTATTCTCCGCTAAACGGCGCGGAACTACCCAACCGCTTTCCCGCATTGTGCATGCTATACACAGCCAAAATTACAGGCAGCAGGGTCTTCGTGCCAGGGCCTCCCGACTTTCCTTTGAAAATTCTCGTCCGAGCTGCCTTTTGGAGAAAAAAAAACGCCCCGAAAAAGGCCTTTTCACCCCTTTTAAAGCTCAGATTCGGGATCCACGGGTCGAGAAGGCCCAAAACATGCAAAAAGATGGAAATGCAAAATCTGCCGGGACGCTGCCTTTGAAGGCAGTCTCCGGGCAGGAACTCGATTTTGAGATTTTGTGCTTATACGGGCCTACTCGCCCTGCTGTATCCGAAAACCACACCTGAAAGCGCGAAAACGGCAAAAAAGGGCTCTAGCGCAGGATCGAAACAGCAAGTGGGCGGGGTCCTCCCCACTGTGAATTCACGCTCTCAGCTTCCGGAGCGGTCTTCTCAATTTCGCTAGCCGTCCTGACATCGCTACCGGCGCGAATGATTGACTTTAGACCAGAAGCGAGAAGATCGCTCCGGAAGCTGGAAGCGTGAATGGGGAGGACCCCGCCCACCTGCTAGGCGTTACCTGCAAAGCTAATCAAGCCCCTGCATTCCTGCTGGTTCTTGACCTTCGTAAAATTGCTCTTTCAAAAGATGAACAAACCCTATGAACAGCGCTCTGAGGCTCCGCCCTGGAAGTGGTGGTCTTGGTGGATAGAGGCTATACCATAAGTGCATATATCATGCGATTTACTTGCATAATGATGTGAAGGGAGGTAAGTGGATAACTGACAAACAATCCCTTTTGTTCATTGCTAAATTCTTCGTAGAAATCAGAGTGTTTCAAAGACTTCGTGGCCAATTCCTTATTTTTAAAAAGTGCCAAGATTTGACATTGGATATCGAAATCATCTCCACCATGCGGTTCGTTGTTATATTATGCTTGCCTTGTGGTGAAAACAAAGTTTTACGCCTTTATCCTAACTGTTCCTTTACGTGGGTTTGATTTGATCCAAAATGGATTTTCTTAATGAGGTGTATATCATTCGAAGATCCTTGAGCGCTGATTTTTGATCCAGCTAGCAGAGTAAAGCCTTCATGGCACTTTCTTCCTCCATTAACAAAATGGAAATCTGGTCTAAAGAATGTGATATCCCTTTTAAGGCCTCGGGCAGAGTTCACGCTACTTGATCGTCGCGATTCAATCGCGACAAGACAACTGTTACGAGTTCATTGCCGATCTTCTTGCATTTCGGTTGTGATAGTTTTCCAACACGACTAATCGTGACTAACTATCACAACCGAAATACAAGAGGATCGGCATGCAATGAATTCGTGACATTTGTCTGTAGCGATTGAATCGCGACGATCAAGTCGCATGAACTCTGCCCGAGGCCTAAAGGGCCGGGCATACATCACGCGATTTCATCGCCGCGATTTCTGGTCGTCGCGATTTGCTGCAGGTAGCGACGATGAGATCGCGGCGACTAAATCGCTAGTTGCTTGTTCATGGACATACTTCTGCGGCGATTCATGCACTTTCTCCCACTTGAGCACATACTATTCCTTCTCAAACTTTTCTTTGAGTTCTGAAAAATTTAGTTCAGCGGAGTTGAGGAGGAGCGTTAACCGATCCTCATGTCGAAAGTCGAAACAATTGATTGTACATCGAATCAGAAAGTTCAAAGAGAAAACTACTTATAAGTATCTGTTTACATTCGGCTTGATTTTTTCATTTGTATTTCATTTTGTAGTCCAGAATCAATTCCAACCGCAGGATCACATTGAAACTCGACTCTGTTCCATTATCTGGGCGTCACTGTTTCAAAGTCGCGGATTTTGCTCAAACTCGGTCCAAAGGGGTTATTCGATCCGCTAATGCCAGTATCGTAATTGTTGTTGTGGTTGGCACAAATTGCAAGAAAATGATGCTTCTAAGTAATCTCGTTGATGATCATGTTCGGTGCGCCAAGAAACTCCCACAACAAATATAGAGCGAATCCACGATTTTGACCCACTAACTCACGGTAGCCCCAGAAAATGGCGTTACCGTACAAAATAACCATGATATTTGGCACCAGCGGGTCGAATAACCCTTCTAGACCGAGTCTGAACGAAATTCAGGACTTTGAAATCTTGGGTCAAGGATAGCACCAAAAATAGATGCAAGAGAATCGATTTGCGGAGAACAATGCAATCTGACAAAATAGAACTATTTTTGAAATAGTAGACAAGAAAACAGCACAAAAAGCTAAGAAACGGTCATAAAAACTTTTAGAGAAGAAGTCCAATCTTAGCGATTGAGTCGCGTCGCTCGTTTAAAGTCAGCGACGCGATATCGCTGAAATTCGGGTAAATCGCGACAATTTCAGTGAAGGAAGTATGCCCGGAAAAAAAGTGGTCAGCGATTATTCGCGCCGAATAACTATCACAGCCGAATGGGAAAATGATCAGCATGCAATGGACTCGTAACAGTTGTCTTGCCGAGAGAATCGCGAGGCGATGAAATCGCGTGATGTATGCCCGGCCCTTAGGAGTTCCTTTCTAATGGGACATGCTTCTAAGACTACCGTTATGCACCTTGAAGAGTCCCCTTACCATATCTGCAGTGGTGTCGAACTTGAGTTTGCTAACCGCGTGATCTCGATGTCATGATTGACGGTTCACTTCTTCAAATTCATATCGAATTTGTCATAAAAAAGTCTTCAGCAACACTTTTTATTATTTTTCGAAGCATACATAGCAATGATCCTGAGGTTTTCAAATTTGTACAAACTATAGGTCATTCTTGAAATCGCAAGACAAGTTTGACTGCGGTCTTTGCGCACAGAGGAGCATAAAACACCCATACAAATAGGCATTACCTTAATGCTCAGCTCAATCACTTTCTGAATACTGTCATAAGCAAGCAGAAAAACCATTCGAGTAGAGAAAAACCAAGCGCGTGCGTGTCGCGCGCTTCCAGCAACCGCGTTTTCGCACCATCGTCACGACTGTTCGAATGCCCTATATGTCTTGCCGCATCTAGAATATGCCTCGCCTATCTGGAGTCCATTTACAAAAGGAAACATAGGAGTCGAAAAAGATTAAAAAACGTTTACGCGAATATTTACTATTTTATTTGTTCACCAAGCTCAAGCCTTACCCTCAGACGTTTGCACCCGAATAAACTAAACCTGCAGAGTCTGATGTACAGGCACGTTGTAAATGATCTCGCTTTGTGTTTTCAAACTCTGTGCTTAGAAACAAAACTCAAAGCTAGCAACTTTCGGATATTCAGATCGTGCAGTGAAGATCGAATAGGTCTGGTTTACGCTATGGCAAACGGGGGATAACGATTCTTGAGACTTTAAACTCTTTCGTTGATCGACTAGATGTTCTTTCGGACTACATCGTTTCCACAAAACCTCCAAAATATTTTGATGGAGGTTGCAAAATATCAATGTGCTTGAGCTATTTGATATTTGTTATCTCTAGATGTTTCGTGTCTCCCTCCACGGATCTCCCTCATAGAGGGATCACAGCCGGTTAGTCGCGAGGCTAAGTGGGGCGTCCCCAGGTGGCGGATAGGGGGATAATCGCCGACCAAAAGCGACCCCGCGCCTGCTCTGATAAGCAAGCGGAGCCGGGGGACGGACTCCCTGCCTCCACTAAAAGCTTGCGCCCTAATTTCCCGGGTAGGTGTGTGGGGAGGCGAGTTCGGAGTCGCCTCCAACAAATAAGCTCCGATCGTCCCTCGCGGGGTTTTGAGCCCAACAAGCTATCCC